AAACATTGAACTGCACATTGCTGCAGGAGTCCCATGAAGGGGGAGCAGATAAAGAGATTGTCTACACACTATAGAAGTTATCCCTCTCAAGAGATTGCTCAGTTAGATTTTTTTTGCTAGGGCTTGTTCAATTAATAGTGGGCTATTTCTAAGCCCCTGAGGTATGAATGTTTAGGTTAAAGATTTAGGTAGCTTTTTGGGAGAAATAGGGCTACCAGAGGGAAAGATGAATTCAAAGATAGGGTAAATATTAAGTAGGCATCCATCTTGGAAAGTCTATTTTTGCCCCGAGGAGGTGTGGGGTATCTAGACATTACCAGGGACTGGTGAGAGAATGGTAATTAGTACCTTAAGTAATATAAAGGGGTGTGGATCCCAACAGGATTTGGAGGAGAGTTGCTTAGAGAAGGAGATTAGCACAGAGGAGGCAGCTCTTAAACCCAAAAGAGAAATTTTAAATTTTGCTTGCCACCTCCCGAGTTGCCCTTGGCTTTGTCCTATTGGTGACAATGACTGATTTGGAAGCCAGCTGGAGTGGAGAGTCCCTTCAGCTCAGGGCCATCAGAGGCTGGGATTCTGTCCCAGGGGCCCTTCAGCCTTCAGGACAGTCCCATCTCCAGTGGTCAAGTTTGTGGCAGACAGGCAAGCCATGTGGGCCTTTTTCCCATTTATCTCATTGGGGCAGTTTGCCTTCCGGAGACCTGGCTTTCAGCACCAATGGCACTTACCTGGAGGAACGTCCTCAGGGCAACCTGGAGGGGACTGGTGGGCTTGCAAAGCAGTTACTGTTCAGCCTGCCTCCAGTCCCTGCATTTCTCTGCCCTGCCCTCCTTATTCTGCTCTCAATTATAAAAGACCAAGGAGGCTAATTGGAGGATTTCCTGCATAAAGGCACTAAGTTCTAAGGCTGACTTTTGTATTTTCTCCCAGCTTATTTTTAGGTCAAACAATATTATAAAGAAAAACTAGGCTGGGCGCGGTGGCTCAAGCCTGTAATCCCAGTACTTTGGGCGAGACAGGTGGATCACAAGGCCAGGAGATCGAGACCATCCTGGCTAACACGGTGAAACCCCGTCTCTACTAAAAAATACAAAAAACTAGCTGGGCAAGGTGGCGGCGCCTGCAGTCCCGGCTACTCGGGAGGCTGAGGCAGGAGAATGGCGTAAACCCGGGAGGCGGAGCTTGCAGTGAGCTGAGATCTGGCCACTGCACTCCAGCCTGGGTGACAGAGTGAGACTCCGTCTCAAAAAAAAAAAAAAAGAAAAACTAGGATTTTGTTTTGTTTTGTTTTAAGGTTTAGGGGAATAAAACTTTTTCCAGTTTTTGGGGATGAGTCCAAGGGACATGTCTTGTGGTCTGGAGACACAATTACCCATCTGTGAAGGGAGAACAGAGGAGGAAAAAGGAAAAAGATGGTGCCCCTTCTTACTTTCCTATTATCCTGAATAGGGTGTCCCCCATTTGTCCTTAGCGTTCTGGAATGAATTGGTCTTACTGTATACCTTTAACCTTGGTACCATCTCATCACAATTACCCACTTGACAACAAAGGAGATACTGGAGTGAACAGCGGGCCCCCTGTTCATCCTTGGGGTTCCAGAATGAAACTGATCTTACCGTGTACCTCTAACCTTGCCTTGGTCTCTGTTCTAATGGTTATCTGTTAGCTTGGGACCAGCCTTTGGTTCTGTCCTATGGGTCTCTTGTTTCTGCAGCCTTGGGTTGACCTGTATCCTTGTCTCCATGACCTTATAGTGATGCTCACTCAGAGCAACAAAATGATTATCTCTTTTCTCAGATTCCCATTTCCCATGTTCTTTAAGCGGACGAGAAGCCTGTTTTTTGGCTAGCTGCTTCAAGGGGCTGGACTTCCCTCCCTTCGAATATGACCTTGAAGGTCTTGATGCACATTGACAAGGGTGTGGAAGTAATTAGAGAAAGGGAGGCTACTGGAGAAAGTGGAAGGAAGCAAGAGGAAAACTCAAGGAAAGCCTTCTTATGCTCACAAAAATATCAGCCCTTGGATTTGAGAGGGCAACATTTATTTGCCCTCTTGACATAAACGAGTAACCTCCACAGGACACGGAGCTTGGGTTAAGAACTCGCAAATGACAAAGGAAGAATTTCCCTCTCCCCAAAGGAGTGCTAACTCAAAAAAATAAAAGCAGAGTGAGGTCCTATGCAGGCAGACAAACGGCTTCAAATGCCACCAGAAAACTTGGCCCTGGGAGTATAAAAGGAGTGAAGAGCATATTGTGAGTCATAAGAAGCTGGCAGAGCCAGAGTTCCAATTAATGTCTGTCCCAGCAATGAGCCAGTAGACAGGGGAAAGGCTGGAGGTCATCTGTGCTGGTAGAGTAAAAACAAGTATAAATCTCAGGGGATAATCACAAAGGGAGCACAATGTCTTTGCTGCTGAGCAGGTGCATCAAGAGCTGTGGGCACACAAATAACAGGGAGTGTGAGTTTTAAGGCAGAGAAGACAGTCACACAGCATGCAAAGTGAAACCAGAGAAGAAGCAGACTTGCCCCTGAGGCAGAGAGTCAGTGGGTGTGCAAGGCCATTTCAGAATACACACAAGGAAAACTGGAGAATAGACACTGCAGATTTTGGAAAAGAGTGGATTTTAGTTGAGAAAGCAGGGAAACCCCTGGTATTGCATGGTTTTAGGCTTTAGCCCTGCTACTCTTGTGAGCTTTCTCTCCAGGAGAGCCATTACTGCCTCAGAGCTACTCGATGCAGACTCCAAGGTCCTTCCCACCCCCTCAAGCCACCTGTTAGGGTGAACTGAGAGATCAGCCATGGGTAGCGGAGCCTCTGTGGCTAAGAGGAATCATTCTGAGAGCTGGTTAGTAGGCAGGAGAGTGAAAAGAGAGAAGGAAACTGCGTATGGGAGTTGAACACCTCCAGCTGAAGAAGGTGAGATGTAGAGATCTCTTACCACTAGGGAATGTATCCGAGCCACATGGCACCAAATTATGTTAGCAGCAGTGAATCCATACAGGTCTGCAGCAACCTCAATTCTTGCCTCCTCAGGAGAAAAAATTCAACTGAGGGACATAAGGCAGAGTGAGAGACCAAGGCAAGTGTTAGAGCAGGTGTGAAAGATTATTAAAAAGCTTTAGAGCAGGAATGAAAGGAAGTAAAGTATGCTAGAAAGAGGGCCAAGCAAGCAACTTGAGAGATCGAGTGCCAGGTTTGACCTTGGACTTGGGTTCTTATATATTGGCATTCTGCATGTGCAATGGCCTGCCAGCACCTGGGAGGGGCTTCATGTGCAGTGTGTATACTGGAGTTGTACGCACGCTCACTTGAAGCATTCTTCCCTTACCAGTTGAGCATTCCTAGAAGAAGGTCATATACCAGTTAAACTCAGCCATTTTACCTCTTGATGTGCATGCTTGAGCCCACTCACCCACCTCCTGAGATCTTAGCTGGAAGCGGCTGATCACCAGCTTCAGGTGTTTCTATATATTAGGAGATGGCCTTTCCCTGGCACCATCTGTGGCCAATTATTATTTTAGAGAAACAGCGTAACAACTGGTATTCCTGGTGTGGGGTGGGGAGCCCTCTCCTGCCCTGCTCATGTCTGCCTGACTACCTACTGCAACAAAGCTTCTAAGGAAATATATTGCAGATAAGAGAGCATGGTTTGTGCTTAACAAGGATTTACGTAAATAAATGTGTATAAGGCATGGGGGCATAGCATGAGAAAGAAAGGGAGTGGAGGTTCATAGCACATTCTGAGGTTGTATTTTGAGATGAAAGGTAACACATATGCAGTTTGTCTCAAAGTTATATCTTGAGACTGGGAGGAGGAAGAGGGAAAGGAAAAGAAGAAAAAAAGTACAAAGCACAGTTTGAGGGCCCATTCTTGGCTGTCTGGCTGTCCCCAAAGATGCTGTCACATGATGGAAACAGATGAACCCACGAGTCCACAGCCCCAAACTCAAGCAGGCTCCAGACCCCACTTTGTGCTAGGCACCAAGTACTGCAAACACAAAAAATAATGAAAACATAGTTCCTGCCCTCAATAAACTTACAGAAATAAATAAATAAATAAATATCAGCTTATAGTCTAATGGAGGATCAAATAAATGCAATGCAGGGATACATGTCAAAATAGAAGAAGGTCTAAGGTTCAGAGGGTACCCAAGAAAAGCATAATAAAAGGCATGGAGATCACTATGGGATATTTCAGAGGTGGTATCCCTACAATTGGATAAATAGTTCCGGAGTTCAAGACTGAGTTCGTGATAAGGAGAATTATTTGGGGATTATTGGTCATAGGTAGAAGCAGCCTCATTAAGTGGAAGAGAGCTCCCAGGAGCATGAATAAAGTGAAAAGAGAAGACAGCCAGGACTGGAACTGTGGGAGCCAGCCTCCAGATGGCCACTATGATCCCTGCCCAGTGGTACTCACACACATGTAAGCTCCTTACACCACACCAGAGTTGCCAGACGTAATGGTCCATCACTTCCGAGGTTAGGATGTAAAAAACCAAGTGTTCTGTCTTAGGCTTGCACTCTCTCTCTCTCTCTCTCTCTCTCTCTCTCTCTCTCTCTCAGCACTCTGGCTGCCATATTGGGAGCATCCCTATTGCAAACCCATGTGGTAAAGACCTGAGTCCTCCAGCCAACAGCCAGCGAGGAACTGAGACCAGTGACGAACTAAGGCTTGTTCACTCAATCATGTGAGTGAGCCTGGAAGCGAATCTCTCAGCTTGAGACATCAATCTTGAGACAACTGCAGCCGTGCTGACAGCATAGCCACAACCTCATGAGAGATCCTAAGCCAGAACTACCCAGCTACAGTGCTCTCAGATTCCTGACTCTCGGGAAGTGTGAGATAACACATTTTCAAGCTGCTAAGTTTTAGGATAATTTGTTATGCAGCAATAGATAACTAACATGGGAACCTTGGTGAGAGGTAACCCACTGAAGAGATAGAGCAGAAAATTCTAAAACATGAGACATTTTAAAAATAAACCAACCATAACTAAAAGAGTATTGTATTGAGACATGAATAAACACATCAAAGGAAAAGAAAGGAGGGTCCAGAAATATACCCGAGCACACTTGGGAATTTAATATATGATAAAGGTGGCATTTAAACTAGTGAGATAAAAGATACATTTATCAATAAATGATGTTGAAACAACCAGGTAGCTCTCTGGGAGAAAACAAATGAGATTAGATCTGCGCCTTTCACACACTACACCAAAATAAATATCAGATGAATCCGATTTGAATATTTTTTTAAAACCATAAAACTGCAATAATTATTTTTCTTCCACATGAGAAAAAAACTACATAAACAAAGTCAAAAGAAAAGGACAATTTATGTAAAGTTCTAGGATAGACAAAACTCAGCTATAGTGATAGAAATCACATCAGTGATGGGATTTGGGGCACAAGGAAGTTTTCTAGGGTGATGAAAATGTTCTATATCTTGATTGGGCAGTACACTTCAATAGAGTTGATTTTTATAAGAAAGAAAACTGAGTGCAAACACCAGTAGGTCTGACGTTTTAAAAAAGCAAAATCTCTCCATGAGAAATGAGAGTCCTGCATCCTGACCTGTCCCCAACCACTTACTTCTCCTGCGGTGACCTTTCTCAGCCTCCCCTAAGCCTAGATATTCAAGGCTGACTTCCTACAGCATGAGGGACTGTCTTCACAGAGTTGAGATCTGTACATGATACAGTATTACTTTGCTTTGGTCTCTGTACCAGATTGAAGCATTCTCCAGTCTTTGTCTGTGGGAGGAGTTAGTTGACTGGTGGAGTAGTTGGTTGGTTGGCTGGTTGGTAGACTGGTTGGTTGGTTCACAAATTGGAAAGATTAAAAAGCAAGCGATTTCTCTATGGCAAAATCTGGAAGAGAGAAAAGAGGTAAAAAACTGAGAAAAGAAGAAAAAACCCTAAGGAAAAATACTAAGAGTTTATACATTTGAGGAAGTATTGACTATGGTGAAATTTCATAAGACAAAAAGTGTGGAAAAACACTTTTGGGGGAAACGGTGTATGTACATCTCCCTGAGGGGAAGAAAATAAGGTGGAAAAGAAAGTTCTTGAAATAACCTTTTGCCATCTCAAGGAAATCCCCCGTAGCAGCCACAGCCTTTGATAGCCACTGGGTAATGTAGAAAGATAGGGGCCTTACTAGAGTCCAGAAACACAGGAAATATTACCAACCTTATGGTGGCTACAGGAGAGGTATGCAAGCACAACTCCAAGGGCTACATTTTGTGCAGGAGTTGTGTGTGTTTAAACACAAAGCCCAAATGCCAGTTGTAACATTTTACAACTTCCCTCCAACTCAATCCCCACTCCCATTATCATAATAGCTCACTAACTGGACCAGCCACAGAGGCATTTATCAGAAGAAAAGTTGGCTGCCTACATGACTTTGCCCCCAGTATCCTCGTGTCAGAGCTTTCTTATCTGCCTATCAGAGCTTCCTTATCCTCTTTATCCTCCTTCCTTATTCTTCCTTATCCTCCTGTCAGAGCTTCCTTATCCTCTACTGAGCTCTGACTGTCAAAGGTGGCATGCCATACACTTCGGTTAACATCAGTAAGTTGCCAATGGATCTGGGTTCTACTCCACATCTTGGCACTAAAGGCCACCCCCCCATGTCCCCTTTATGAGGTTGCCAGACTTGCAAATCAAAATACAGGATGCCAGGTTAAATTTGAATTTCATGCATACAACAAATAACCTTTTAGCATAAGTATGTCTCAAATATTGCATAGGACATACATACATTAAAAAAAAACACTGATTTGTGTTTTATTTGCAATTCCAACTTAACTAGGTATTCTGTATTTTATCTAGCAATCATACTCCTTTGCCCTAGTAAGGATTCTCCAGAGAACAGTAACAATTAATTGATCTGAAAAAAAATCTAAATTGTATAAATTTTGTACATCATCCAGAAGAAAAGTGAAGACAAAATATCCTTTATAAATAGATTTAAATGACACCAGTAATAATGAGTACATTCTCCTTGTAACCATTTAAAAAATACAGATAAAACAAAAGTTTTCCAACAGTAAGCCACCAGATCCCTGCACTCTTCTGAAAAGTAAACACAGTTAATAGTGTGTTCTTCTAGAGCTTTTCTATGCATTTGAACATATATATGTAAGCATAGAATATGTAGGCTTGTTCTGTGTGTGCGTGTGTATCATATTGTAAACACTGTTGCATTGTTGTACAACTTTTTGCATGGCAACATATATCTATCTCATTGCTTTGTAAAGCTGCATAACATTCCACAGAATAAATATTACCCTTGTTTAACCGTTATCAAAATGTAGTTAGGGAACCCCTTGGGGAACCCTCTATAGGGTTCCAAGAGGTCAAATTATTTTCATAATAGAAATAGGACATTATTTGCCTTTTATACCCTCACTCTCTCACAAACATACAGTGGAGTTTTCCAGAGGTTACTTGGCAAGTGATAACACCACTGCTCTGACAGCTAATGAAATGTGTATGATGTATACATTGTTTTCCAAATTTTTCTAAAGAAGTAGATTTAGGGTATAAATATATGCTTGTTTGGAGATAACTCAGTTTCTTCTTGTGTTCTCACTGTGTTCTTCCTAGCTGTCTTCAGTTATACCTGCTATAATTGCAATACTATTGTCTAATAAATTTTTATTTTAAAATTCTGAAATTTTTCTTACATCTATCTGAAAACACAAGAAATAATACACTTTGTCTTGTTTTGTAATAACATTTTAAAATGTTTTTTAAATCCTAATGAATTGTGTAATTTTAACCAAAATTGTTATTAGCCCATTCCTTTACAATATATTTATTCTTATAGTAAAGGATTTATCATTGGCATAAGATGGATTGATTAGATTTGCTTTCTCAACCCCCAGGTGCACCATCCCAGGGTAAAAATACTGAAAAAAAAAATGAAATTAGGTCAGGTGGAGTTGCTTATACCTGTAATCCCAGCACTTTGGGAGGCCAAGGTGGGAAGATTGCTTGAGGCCATGTGTTCAAGACCAGCCTGGGCAACACAGCAAGACCTCACCTCTATTTATTTTTTATATCAATTTAATTTAAAAATAAAATAGATAAATAATAAATTTTTTTAAAAGATGAAATCGGCATATCAGAGGGTTCTCTGACTAGCTGAAGGGAGGGATATATGCCAAAGAAATTGTGAAAAACTAAATAAAAACCAAAAATATAATGAAATCTATATTTCCCTCATCTATATATATAGTAATAGTTTAACTTATTATGTCTTATTCAACAGAATATTTTGAAGAGTATTTTAGCAATACTATTACTAAACTTAACTGTTTACTATAAATAGTTAGTTGCAGCATCATTTTGATGCCGATCATTCAGAGTTTAGAGAAAAACGAATTCAGCATTTTAAATGTAGATATGGTGAGCTCTTTAAAATCCGAAAATTGTTAGCTTTTCAAACTGGCCGTGAAAAAACACAAAGGGTGGTAAAATTTTCAGTGCTTTTTTTAATTTCATGTTTTTTTCTAGAACAACAGTTCTGATATTTTTTTTGATGACACAAAAGCAATGGTGGGTAAAACTGCTGGCATTTAGCACAAATCAAAGCAGTGGCACCAAATCGTCCCAGTAGTCATTCTGTTCCTTAATGCCACACATTTGCAATGAGGGGGAAAAGCCAGTTTCACTTCAGGTTATTTTCTTAAATCTTGATTCATGAGAACATGTCTTTTCAACAATCTTTGTGAAGAAATGGGAAGTATACATTAAAGGTTTCTGTTGCATACTGGAGAACAATGATATCTCAAGGAACAGTACTTGTACAATCATGTGAGATAGCTGAACTGTCTACATTTTTTATGAAACACGATTTTTACTGGAAAGAATGACAAACTATGATTATTCAGGTCTGAGTATTTTGCAGGTACTTTCGTAGAAATGCAAAGAGACTCTTACTTCAAGAAAATTAGTTGACAATATTTCCTGCCAGTGATAAAATTTGAACTTTCCAGCAAGTGAGAATTGTAAAAAATTTGTATCTGCCATTATGAACTTGACAACTGCCTGATTCTTCCAATGAATTGCAGTGGTTTATACCTGTGAAGCACCTAGCAGCATACCTGGAACATAGCAAGCAGTCATAGGATGGTAACTCTCTCTCTCTTTTTTTTTTTTTTTTCTGAGATACAGTTTTGCTCTGTTGCCCAGGCTGGAGTGCAGTGGCACAATCTCGGCTCACTGCAACCTCCGCTTCCCAGGTTTAAGCAATTCTCCTGTCTCAGCCTCCTGAGTAGCTGGGATTACAGGCATCTGCCACCATACCCAGCTAATTTTTTATTTTTAGTGGAGATGGGGTTTCACCATGTTGGCCAGGCTGGTCTCGAACTCCTGACCTCACGTGATCCACCCACCTCGGCCTCTCAAAGTGCTGGGATTACAGTCATGAGCCACCACAGCTGGCCCTTTCCTTTTTCCTTTCCCATATATTACATGCCTAGCCCCAAATACTTCTGGCCACCCCATGCCAGAGCTGGGAGAAGTCCAGGGTAAGTTATTGTATTACATTAGCTGGAGACACCCACACAAAGGCTGAGATAATATAGGTAAAATAAAACCTTATACATTGACATCACTGAAGGCCTACTGGATAAAAAGTCAGTGAAAGAAATCCTGGGACTGCCACTTTTCAACGACACAATCACTCATCAAATTATTTGTACCACCTGTATGTCCCACCATGGATCTCACACCCCCTGGGTGGTAAGGGATGGCCAGATGAGGCAGTCTGTTGCCCTACAAAAGATGAGAGAAAGGAATCTGGCACCATCACTCCCAAATTCCCAGGGACTCATTTTGAGGGCCTCCCATTTTAACTAAGGCTTTAACCTATTTCCCAACCTGTACCTGCCCGCCTTCCTGAACCCACATGGCCTTCTCCCCCACAATGCCTTCCCACCCCCAGCCTCCCAGTTCTGAGTTGCCCACTTGGCAACCAGCGGGGCAGAGCAGTAGGTTCGAGATTGCCCTAGGGACATCCAGGACTGGCTGGGCATTCCCATTGCAGAGCAGGACAAATAGCCACGCCCCCGGACAGAGCTTTCCCCAGATCCCCATCACCTGCCCTGAGGTAAATGACCCAGAGAGCACTCCCACACAGCCACCCACTTCCCACCATCCCCTGTCAGCAGGCAAAGAGCTCCAGCTGCTTCCTCTGGGACACTACACCTAACCAAGGGTCTATCAATTCCTATCCACCTCCAAGCCCTCACCAGATGAGTACAGCTCAGACTCCTGGAAACTAGGGGTTAATTCATGAAAAAATTGATGGTCTATCCTCCAAGGTTGCATGCCAAGGACCTTCAGGAGGCTTTTCCCCCATCCCCTTCTTCCTTGAGTATATATTCCGTCTGTTAATCCTAACTATTGATTCAACAAACTGTTCCCAAGTCATAAGTTATTCTTCTAGGAATTGGTAATGTGTTCATTTTACAATATAAAACACCAAACGTCCCCAGGACTCTCTTCCACCCCCTGTACTCCTTCCTGCCCTCCCTCTCCCTATGCTCCCTCCTGGGTTCCAGTACCAGGTGTGTTGATTAAGTCAGCCTCCTCATAAACTTCACACACTACACAGAAACTAACTCAAAACAGAACACAGACTTAAAAGTGAAACATAAAACTATAAAACATTTAGAAGAAAAAATGCCTGTTAGTATGGTAAATTGCATGGACTGATTTTTGAATATTGAATGAGATTTGCATGGTTGGTCATGGTATATACCGCTTTTTAAAAATTGCTGAATTCTATTTGCTAACATTTTGTTAAGGGTTTTTGCATCTACATTTATGAGGGACATTGGACTGTAATTTTCCTTTTTCTTCTTTTTTTGTACTATCTTCATTTGATCTTAATATCAGCATAAAACTAGCTTTAGAAAATGAATTGGGAAATATTCCCTTCTCTTCCATTTCTGGAAGAGATTATGTGGAATTGGGCAGATCTCTCTAGTATATTCCAGAGGGGACAAGTCTTTCTTTCTTTCTTTCTTTGTTTAACAATGGTTAATGATTATCTTGTGGAGGTGAGTCACTTATCTAATATAAGGTTCAATTCTACCCTATTTGTTTTTGTTTGCATTTTGAGATAAGGTCTCGCTCTGTCACCCAGGCGAGAGTGCAATGGCATGATCATAGCTCAGTACCACCTCGAACTCCTGGGTTCAAGCAACTCTCCTGCCTCAGCCTCCCAGGTAGCTAGGACTATGGGCGTGCACCACCACAACTGGCTAATTTATTAAGTTTTTGTAGAGACAGGGTCTTGCTATGTTGCCCAAGCTAATCTCGAATTCCTGGCCTCATGCAGTTTCCCACCTCAGTCCCTGAAGGTGCTGGGATTACAGGCATGAGCCACCACACCTGGCCTACCCTATTTGGTTTTATATATCTATGATTCTAGTATAGCTTTACCATGTGCCAGAAATTATTTTAGCCACTTTGTAAATATTAAATATTTTACTCTTCATACAACCATTTGAGATAGGTACTAGGATTGTTCTGATTTTACAGATGAGGAAACTGAGACACAGAGAAAGTAACTGGCACATGGTCACATAGCTGTAGTAAACACAGAGTTGAGATTTAAGCCCAGGCATCTGTTCCCTTAACCACAGTGCTCTTCTGTGTATGGGGACATTATTATTTTCATACTCTAAATAAGGAAACTGAAGCCCAGAGAGCTGAAGTGATTTGCCCAACGGAATGTAACCAAAGTAGAGTTCTTGATTCCCACCCACCTGTCTCTCCACATCTCCCTATCTCCGAAAGGTGTTCTAGCCAAAAATTTGAGAGTTGCCCTTGAGTTTTCTCTTCACCTTACCTTCTGCTTCTAATCCATCAGCCAATCTTGTCGATTTTGCCTCCAAAATATGCATCAAGTTCTCTGCTTCTCTCCATCTCCGCCGTGTTCTCTCATCTGACCCCTTCATTCCACTCATACACTCTCACAAGCTATTCTCCTTCCACCTGCAGACAGCATTAGCATTTTAAACATCAGTCTCTGCTGCTTAAAACTCTGCAATGGTTTGCCATTGTACTAAGAATCAAATCCAAATTATTTCCCGGACTCACAAAGCCCCAGTGGTGTCTGGCCCCAAGCTCCTCCCAGACTATCTCCTGCACCTTGCCCTCCACCTGCGTGCTCCAGCCTCCAGCCGGCCAGCTCAGGCCTGCCTTCACAGCCCCTGTATCTGCTGGCCCTTGAAAGCTCTTCCCACAAACACTTCATTGCTGCTAAATGTCAACCCTCATAGAGACATTCCCAGGTCACCTGGTACGAGACAGACCCTCAGTAGTGCTCTCTCCCACCTTTCTCTTTTATTTTCTTCATGGCATTTATCACCTGCCTAATATTTTTTGTTTGTCTGTTTGGGTTATTTCCTCACCTACTAGAATGTAAGCTGTGCAAGCTTATACTAATAACTAACACTAATGTAGTCCTTATTTTGTGCCAGGCACTGTTCCAAGTACTTTATATGTGTAAACTCACTTAGTGTCCACCACTATCCTGAAAAGTTGCACTCTGAACATCTCCGTGTTTCTGAAGATAAAACTGAGCAACAGAGAGGCAAGGTAACTTATCTATGGCCACACAGCTTGTAAGTCGTGAAGCTGGGATGCAAGCCCAGGCAGTCTGGCTGTGGAGTCTGGTGGTTTTTTTTGTTGTTGCTGTTGTTTTTGTTTTTGTTTTTGAGACAGAGTCTCGCTCCTATCACCCAGGCTGGAGTGCAGTGGCGTGATCTTGGCTCACTGCAACCTCTGCCTGCCGGGTTCAAGAGATTCTCCTGCCTTGGCCTACTGAGTAGCTGGGATTACAGGCGTGCGCCACCACGCCCAGCTAATTTTTGTACTTTTAGTAGAGACAGGTTTTCACCATGTTGGTCAGGCTGGTCTCGAATTCCTGACCTCAGGTGATCTGCCCACCTTGGCCTCCCAAAGTGCTGGGATTACAGGCATGAGTCCCCGTGCCTGGCTGAGTCTGTACTCTTAGCCCTCAACCTTTATGGTTCCTTCATGGGAGTGGGGTGCTTATTTGTACTGTTCTCCACCAAGTTTCTAGCACCTGGAATAGTGCCTGACAGAGAGGAAGCACCAATAAATATTTGTAGAATAAGCAAATGAATGTTGCATAACTGGTTTAAAGATAAAGCCTGACTTTGAACCGACTGGTTGGGCTCCAAAACCACAGTCTCCAGAGTATGGGATTGTACTATTTCAATTTTCAACTCAGAAATTCACTGAAGCTTGCTGTCTACTCTAAAGGTGTCTACAGTCCTGTGGGGAAGGCATATTTCAATAACTGCAAGCCAGATAGAAAAACTGTGGTGCCACAAGTCAAGGGCACACAAAGTGCCATGAGGGAGTGATAATTTTAACTAGTAGCTCAAGGAAGGATTTGAGGTGAAAGTGTCATTTGCACTGGGTTTGGAAGCCTCTGGACAGGCAGAGATGAGAAGGAGCATGTAACTGAAACTACAAGTTGTCTCCTAATGTCTGTTTCCTCTTCTTCCACAGTAATCATATTCCAAAATTTTAGCTGTGCAGTTGACCACTGAGAATAAAGGCTACATTTCCCAGCCTCCCTTGCAGCCAGGTATGGCTACCTGACCACATTCTGCATAAAAGGTTATAGAGAAGTCAGGGATGAAACTTCCAGGAGGTGTTCTCAAGTGGAAGGAGCATGCCCACATCCTTTGTTTGTCTCCCTCCTGCTGTCTAGAATGTGACTCTGATGACTGGAACCAAAGCAGCTATCTTTGGCCTCAGAAGGCACATGTTGAGGATGTGGACTACAATGTTGAGGCAGTCTGATCATGAAGGCACGATATGAGGCCTGCTACAATCTTGTTTAAGCCACTGTTACAAGTGTCCTAGGTTGGGTTACCAGAGCAGATCCTGAGACAAGGCTTCATGTGCAAGTAGTTTATTAAACAGATGCTCCAAGCAGGGAGCAATGGCTCCCACCTATAATCCCAGAACTTTGGGAGACCAAGACAGGAGGAGTGCTTGAGGCCAGAAGTTTCAGACCAGCCTGAGCAACATAGTGAGACCCGTGTCTCCACAAAAAAAATTAAAAATTAGCTGGTCAGGTCACATGTGCCTGTAGTCCCAGCTACTCAGGAGGCTGAGGCAGGAAGATCCTTTGAGTGTAGAAGTTTGAGGTTACAGTGAGCTATGATTATGCCACTGCACTCCAGCCTTAGTGACAAAGTGAGACCTTGTCTCAAAAATAAAAATTAAAAAAATGGTCCCAGGAGAAACCAGTAAGGGAGTGTGGAAAGTAAGACAGGGAAGGGAAGAGGACAAACAAGGGAATGTTTCAGCAAAGCCCCAGCCTTAGCCTGGTCCCAAAGGTCAGCTCTGGAGTGTAAATTACACCTCAGAGTTTGCCCAGATTTCAGACAATGGAACTAGGCTTTTATCTAGTTCAGCTAAAGGCTGCCCCTGCTTCTCTCGATGTTCAGAAGCTGTGGGAGATGATTAAATGGGTCAAAGGGCTCTGGTGCAACCTCAATGGGCCCCTTACACTCGGTTTTCTGTCACTCATAACTGAACCTAATCCTAACAAGTACCAAAAACATTTCTGGCAGAGGAGAGAGTAAAAATAAAGTGCACAGAACCTGAAGGAACAAGAGGATATATGAAAGTATTGGAAAGGAAGAGAATAGGAAAGAAAGAAATAGGAAACAAATTTGGAAAACCAAACTGTAGTCACTGGGACTTGCTATGGTTTGGCTGTGTCCCCACCCAAAGCTCATCTTGAATTGTACCTCCCCACATTTCCCTTCTGCACTACCTTAGCAGAGGCTCTCCATGAGGGCCCTGCCCCTGCAGCAAACTTCTGCCTGGACATTAAGGCATTTCCATACACAGCAGTGGGGGCCTGGAAATGTGGGGTTGAAGCCCCCACACAGAGTCCCCACTGGAGCACTGCCTAGTGGAGCTATGAGAAAATGACCACCATCCTCCAGATCCTAGAATGGTACATCCACCAACAGCTTGCACCATGCACCTGAAAAAGTCACAGACACTCAACACCAGCCCATAAAAGAAGTCGGGAGGGAGGCTGTACCTTGCAGAAGCACAGGAGTAGAATGATATGGTTTGGCTGTGTCCCCATACTGTTCTCACGGTAGTGAATAAGTCTCACAAGATCAGATGTTTTTATAAGGGGCTTCTCCTTTCGCGTGGCTCTCTCTCTTGCCTGCCACCATGTAAGAAGTCCATTTGCTCTTCCTTGGTCTCCTGCCATGATTGTGAGGTCTCCCCAGCCATATGGAACTGTGAGTCCATTAAACATCTTTTTCTTTGTAAATTACCTAGTCTTGGGTACGTTTTATCAGCAGCGTGAAAATGAACTAATACAGAACTATATAAAAGTTTTGAATTTCCAGCTAATGCATAGATGAAAGGAAGTCAAAAGGACTTTGAATCTGATGGCTCAGAAGATTAATCTGGCAACTATGTGTGAGATGAATTGGAATGAAATTTGTGTGGGGTAATACCCATTACAAGGTCATATATATAATCTAGGCAAGAGGTAATGGTGGCACAACCCCAGGTGATGGTGCTGGGAAGGGAAAGTAGAGAATAGTTGTGAAGTCTTACAGAGAAAGATCTGGTCTTTCTAAGTGCTTTGACATGAGAGAAAAGAGACAGAGGATCCAAACATGAAGCCAGGGACAATGGTGGCATTGCCAACAGAAATGGGTAACAGAGAAGAAACAAGCTTGATAGAAAATATGAATTCTACCAATTGATATAGTGACTTTGAGATGAAGGGAAGCCTTCTAAATGGAGTTGTCAAGAAGGCAGTTAGAAATGCAAGACTGATAAAAGAAGTCAAGCACGGAGCCTGGATCTGTGCATTGTCTACAGAGATGTGATAGAAGCCATGGCTGTGCATAGGATTACTAAGGGAGGGAGGGCAGAGACAGAAGAGGAAAAGGCCAGTATAAGATACTTGCAAGTTGTGCTGTTTGTCTGCTGTCTCTTGGGCCCACGCCACCCTCCTCTGTGGTGTGAGGGCCCTCAGCCAACAGCCTTTGCCAGACTTTCTCTTGCCAGCTGGCTTCCGATTCAATTCTGCTACTAAGAGGCACTGAGACGTGGCTGGAAGGACATAGGGTGAGAGAAGGGTCTTCCTCCTGTTTCCAGCTCCTGTCAACGTCTCTCTGGGAGGCTCTAGCCTAGGGTTTGGCAAATTTTTTCTGTAAAGAGCTGGATATTAAGTAGTTTAAGCTTTGCAGGCCATATGGTCTCTGTTATAACTCCTCAACTCTGCCATTGTAAGGCAAGAGCAGCCATAAACAATATATAAATGAATAAGGATGACTGCATTGCAATAAAACTTTATTCACGGACACTGTAATTTGAGTGTTTTACAATTTTCATGTGCCATGAGATATATCTTCCTTTTCGGTTTTATTTTCAGCCATTTTTAAAATGTGAAGAATATTCTTCTTGTTTGTTTGTTCACTTGTTTTTTGAGATGAACTCTTGCTCTGTTACCCAGTCTGGAGTGTAGTGGCGCAATCTCGTCTCACTGCAACCTCCGCCTCCCGGATTCAAGCGACTCTCCTGCCTCAGCTTCCCAAGTAGCTGGGACTACAAGTGTGCACCATCACAGCTGGCTAATTTTGTATTTTTAGTAGAAACAGGGTTTTGCCACGTTGGCCAGACTGGTCTCGAATTCCTGACCTCAGACTATCCATCTGCCTTGGACTCCCAAAGTGCTGGGATTATAGGCATGAACCACCGTGCCTGGCCAAAATGTGAAGAACATTCTTAGCTCATAGGCCATGGAAAAACAGGTGGCAACTGGATTTGGCCTATGGGTAATAGGTTGCCCGTGCTAGCTCCTAATTGTTCACACTCCTGGCAGCAGGTGAACTACACTTCCTGGAAATACTGGCAACTCAGAGGCTCAACCCCATCACTGTGCATTCTCATTCTGTGGTCTGAGCATGGGCCAGGCAAAGCTGAGCCTGGAGGCTCTGGTGGCACCACTTCTTCTCTTCTATCCCTCCAGCCCTGAGGAGGAACTGCTATAGTTACCATATCTGGTCATTGCAGCATCTCCATTTGCCCTTCCAATCCTCCAACACTGGAGTAGTCAATCCACATCCCTTCTGTGAGAAATGCCTTGCATGGAATTGTTTTCCTGCTTGGACTCTGACTGACACAGAAATCCTTCCATTTTAGGGATGGGAATAAAAGGAAGCCAAAAGGGAGAAGCCAGCGACGGAAGAGGCAAATTAGGAGTGTCCCCACACTGAAGGGAAAAGAAGTTCAGGAAGAAGGGCATGGGGAGCAGCAGTTGCCGCTGCTGAGAGGTGAAGAGGATGCCTGCGAAGAAGGTGATGAGCTGAGGAACTTCCAGAAATCATCCTCAGGGGATGGCAGGGACCTGGGAGCAAGCTGGAGGCAGACACAGCCTCCTCTTGTGAGAGTATGTGAGAGGCAGGGTCTGAGGCAGTCTCTTATAATGCAGGAGAAAGGCATGAAGATGGCTCAGCCCATGTCAGGACTGTCAATCCTCTCTGTTGGCA